GCGTTGAAGGCATTAAATCAAGGGCGTTGAAGGCATTAAATCAAGGGCGTTGAAGGCATTAAATCAAGGGCGTTGAAGGCATTAAATCAAGGGCATTGAAGGCATTAAATCAAGGTGTTAGTCATTAAATTAAGGGTGTTGAAGGCTTTAAATCAAGGTGTTAGTCATTAAATCAAGGGCTTTGAAGGCATTAAATCAAGGTGTTAGTCATTAAATCAAGGGCGTTGAAGGCATTAAATCAAGGTGTTAGTCATTAAATCAAGGGCGTTGAAGGCATTAAATCAAGGGAGTGAAAGGCATTAAGTCAAGGGAGTTAAAGGCATTAAATCAAGATGTTAGGCATTAAATAAAGTGCGTTGAAGGCATTAAATCAAGGGCGTTGAAGGCATTGAATCAAGGGCATTGAAGGCATTAAATCAAGGGCATTGAAGGCATTAAATCAAGGGCGTTGAAGGCTTTAAATCAAGGTGTTAGTCATTAAATCAAGGGCGTTGAAGGCATTAAATCAATGGCGTTGAAGGCATTAAATCAAGGTGTTAAAGGCATTAAATCAAGGTGTTAAAGGCTTTAAATCAAGGGTGTTGAAAGCTTTAAATCAAGGGCTTTGAAGGCATTGTATAAATGGTAAATAGTAAATGGACTGCATTTATATATTATATATATTCTCTCTGATCAAGATACTCAAAGCTCTTTACAACACAATCTGTGTCCTCATTTACCCATTCGTATCGCACTCTGCTAGATCTATGCAGAGAATAATCAGGGCTTTATCACATTCATACACTGATGGGACACAGACTGGAGGAAATGAATGGTTCATTGTCTTGCCCAAGGACACTTCAGCATGTGACTGCTGGTGGAATCGAACTCCCAACTCTTGCATTGGAGGACGACTGCTCTAACCCCTCAACCCCAGATGTCCCTAATTAAAGGCGTTAGACAAAGAGAGGAGTGAGGAAAATGTGTGAAACTGATATTCTTTGGTATTGATGATTTTGTTCAAATCACCAGTGGAGGGCTTGTATCTCACGATCTGAATCTCTTTTGCATTTATTTATTTTTCTTGCTAATTGTTAGGCTTCATGATCTGTGACCTGAGTCTGAATTTCATACCATAAACACACAAATATGAGCTGGTATGACAATAAATTAAAAAAATTGAATTCTTGAATGCAACATAAAAGTTATGCCAGTTTCTCACCGGGCTGTGACTCTTGGGTCTACTTGGCAAACTGCATTTGTGAGGTAGTTCCCAACATTTCTTCATGTGAGTCATAGAGGCTTGCTTGTCTTGAGGCTTGAATTTTGAACATGTGTACAAAGCTCAGTCTGTAAAGGCGTAACGAATACCAAATCTTCACACCATGGCTTCTATAAACTTTGCTTTATTACACCGATCTGGCAGCACATGACCTGTAAACAGCTTTCTCCCTACCTCCAATGTTTGGATAGCTCTTGCATCCTTTTGTTTGGATTGTATCTCACATCTGTGGTTTGTGCTCTCAGGTGTTGGGTTTGTTCCTGTGGATTGTGTGTTGGACAGATCTCTTCTACACGTTCCACGAGCTGCGGCAGGGTCACAGCCAGCAGCCTATTTACTTCATCACCCCGCTGGTGCTGGGAATGACCATGGTAAGAAGCATGCATAGCACATTAACACATTCATTAACACCGTCATGCAGTCACTAAGGCTTTGATACAGAACATGGATTTCACCGTGGCTAAATCTCTTTTTACGTACGCAAATTCAGACTGCAGAGCAGACAGTGAGGACGTGTGTATGTAGTGATAAGATACATCTGTACAGAAACGACAATCTGTCTGTTGTATGATCATTATTTTGCTTGAGGAAAGGGAGCACCAAACAGATTGAAGCCTGTCAAAGAGACACTTTGGTCAATTTGTAGCAGTTTTCTCTGTTAAAGTTGTTTCTTCCTGAACGGCCTCAGTTTGGAGGAATTTAGTTTTAAGTTTTAAGGACTGTCAGGCTAACAGCTAGTCCTAAGGCAGACAATATTAACGTAGATTGCTGCTCTCTTTAAACCGCTTCAGTCTTCATGTACACATCATGTGAATGTGGTTATTGATACCATTACACCCAGTTACGTTTTGCATTGCATGGCAGAAATACTGGATCCAGGCTGCACTGGTGATCCAGCATCTTGCTGCTACACTTGTAAATAAGTTCAGAATTCTTTTTTAAAAATAACCTTTTAATCTGTGCACAGATGTATAAAATAGCATTTGTATGAATGCTCTAAAATTTTGGAGACTGGAGTTGCTTTAAACCAGCATCAAACCACTTTATTTGGGCTGTGTTTCGACTACTCGTCTGTCCTGTCGAGCATAAACTTTGTTTCTCAAAACTGAGGCAGTTCAAAGAGCTACAAGCAGATCAGTCAGAATGGCCGAAGTGTTTGTTGAAGACATTGTTTTCACAGATAAAGAGGCATACCCTGGAATCTGTATAGATGATCCGTCTACCTGCTCCATGATGCCCCATTCCGTAAATCCCCTTTCTTCCATGTTCTGATGCCCGATTTAATCTTCAACAAGTCGTCTTCACCATCTCTGCTTTGCTAAAGCTGCCATGTGATTGGCTGATCAGCTACTTGTGTTATCAAGCACTTTAACAAGGGTGCCTCATAAAGGGGCCAACGAGTCTAGTTTTACCAAAGGAACATAAACGCATTGAGGAAGACTTGAACTCAAGAATTAATAGCATAAACAAATTAAAACTATAAAGCTTTTTATGATAAATTACTAGGTGCTTCATTGTCTCAAACAACTCTAAATCGGCAGAGTTTTGAAAAGTTAAGTCTGGAAAAATACAGAATTTTAGAATGAAAAATGTCTGGGAACCCTGGCATTGCAAAGGCCGACACCTTTTCAGAAAGAACGTCTCCTCAAAAAGATCTGTACTGGGTTACAGTGAATCCAGAACCTTTGTGGGTTAGCAGGTCTGACTCCACGTTATGTGGGGGACAGCTTTCAGTTAAAGGCCAATCTTGTCAGAGTGCAGTTTACCTCACATGCCCTCAGTTATTCTGGCTTTGCTGATCTAACTCAAGTCTCTCCCCCCCCCCCCCCCCCCAACCCATCTTCAGCTGCTGGCCACATTTCTGATCCAGTATGAAAGGTTACGTGGGGTTCAGTCCTCAGGGGTCCTCTTCATCTTCTGGTTCCTGTCTGTGGTATGTGCCATTGTGCCTTTCCGCTCCAAGATCCTAATGGCCTCCAGCCAGGTGAGAATGTTTGTCATCGCTGTCTACTGCCCGTCCATCCTCATAGCCTCATATCCTTCATCTTGACTGTTACAAAGTACATCTCTCATTCCTGTTTTTGTGCAGTTTTTCTAGCTCCTTGACCTCTTGCACCTCTGAGGGTTTATGGTGTTTAAGGATACTTGAGCAGTCAGTGCTGACTGTGTGTTTCCTCTGTGTTGTTTTAAGACGTGCTTAGGAGTTTACCGTGAGTAGATGTTTTGAAGAGGTCAGCTCAGGCTGACACTAAGCACACAGTTGAAAGGGTATAGTTGGCTTGTTTCTAACCTACTTACCTTACTTTCAGTTCTCACAGCTCTGCAGCAGACCCTGCAGGCTGGAAAACGAGCCAGTCTGTGGTGTCTCAATGTGGAGAAAACGCACACAATAAAAATGTGCAACAAAACAGTGCATTCATTGGGTGCTTGTTACTTCTGTACGGTTTTTGACGACGTCTCTGGCGTAGTTGATAACCTGGCTAAAGACTTAAACATGGCTTTCCGATTGGTTGGGTTCTAATCTACTTGCACTACAAGACTCCACTAAGACTTGAAAGTAAAGTGACTAGTTGTTCTTCTTCATGCCTCTTGTGATTCTGAGATTCTCACTTCATCTCTGAAATCTCATGTGTTTGCGGGCCGTGGCCGACTCCCTCAGTGATTGTGAAAGGCCAAAGGCAACATAAAGATGGACTAGTCTGTGCGGCCTTTCCACAGAACTGTTTTGTGGAAAAAAAACTCATGTCTATAGCTGCATAACTAACGATAGACCGTGATACCCATGTCAACCCTTTCTCTAGGATTCATCGAAAAGGAAAGGCCTAGTGTTAAACATAGAGAGGGTGTTAGCCTCGCAGGGAGAGGGTGCTCCTGGTAGAAACCCATAGTTTGGTGCGTTCTTATTACTCACTGTGCATTGCTCAACTGAGATGTTCAGTTTACAGTTTGTTGAACACTGTTGATATTTGGCAGATATTTGACAGCTCATCTGTCTTCCATAAGGTGGTACACCCCTCACAACAGGAAATATTTGTAGTAAAACTATAAAATTTCTGTAGATGTTTTTGAAGTGTGCCAGTGCAGCTACTGTCCAACATTTTAACATGCAGCTTTCTATAAAGCCTCAAAGTAAAGTGGGATTTTTTTAAGCATCATAAAATGCCCACATCTTGATGTACAAACTGAAAGTTTATTAATCAGAACATGCTTGTTCCTGCACCACTTCAGTCCTGTAAAGTTTAAACTCTGAAGGATGTTTCTGCTATGAAGTACTGTAATTTCCAGTGTTAAAGCTGCTACATTCTTCTCATGCTTTGGACTCTGGCTTGTACACAGGAGCAGCTAATTTATGATTTGTACAAAATAATCATTTAAATATTTTATTTTGACAGGCTGTCAAGCTTCCTGCCGCTGAATAACATTTTCCTTTGACACTCCTGGGCACTGGTATAGCTGCTCTGCACACTCTTGGGGGTGGATTATTGTGACAGTGAATGCCACGGGTACTCATGACAGGTCCTTCTCGCTCATGGTTCCAATTTTGCTACTAAATACCCATAATCCCACTCTGGTCATGTGACCAGAAGGCACTCTAATGACCAATGAGGTACCGTACTTTCACTGAGTCATGAGAACACACCCCCAAGATAGACGTGCATTGATCAGATTTCCAGTATTAAAATCTGCTGGCTCCTTCGATAAATAACATTATTAACCGACACTTATGTATATTAACATC